GTATGTGTATGTGGTTGTGTGTGTATGAGTGTGAGTCAAGGTGTGCGTGTAAGAGCGTGTGTGTGTGTGTGTGTGTATGTGTATGAGTGCGTGTATGTGTTTGTGAAGGCAGGAATGTATGATGGCACACGTGTGAATGTGTGCGTGTACAAGAGAATGATTGTATGTATGACTGTGTGTGTGAGCGAAGGTGGGAGTGTCTGAGTGTGTGTGTGCGCGTGGGTGTGTGTATGTAAGTGATTGTGTACTTAAGTGTGTAGATATGTGAGTGAAGGTGAGAGTATGTGAGTGTGAGTGAGTGTGCGTGGGTATGCATATGTGAGTGGTTGGTATATGTGTGTATGCGTGTGAGCGAAGGTGAGAGTGTGAGTATTGTGAGTGTGCGTGGGTGTGTTATGTATTTGAGTGATTGTGTATATAAGTGTGTATGCGTGTGAGTGAAGGTGAGAGTGTGTAAGTGGGCATGGGTGTGCATATGTACATGTGAGCGATTGTGTATCTAACTGTGTATGTGTGTGAGCAGAGGCGAGAGTGTGGGAGTGTGTGTTCTGTGTGTGTGTGTGGGTCTGTGAGCTGGTATGTTGTGAGTACATGCAGACACGTGTACACTGGGGCCGCGTGCACGCATCTGTGGGAGCCTGACTGGCCGGTGGGAAGGGACTTGAGGGTCCACAGCTGGGTGATTTTGTTTTTTGGGGGAGTGGGAGCCCCGGGCTGGCTCGGGTCCTCCAGGCTCTCAGCCAGGCTGGGGAGTGTCTGGGGTGCTCCGGGGTCCAACCCAGCTCGCCCGCTGCTTGCCACTAGCTCAGGGCGCCCCTCTCCAGCCTGCTGCCCCCGTCCGTCCGCCGTGCCTCCTCCTCCCGGCCCTTTCCAGGAGAGCCCCTCGGCCCTGGCCCGCACACGCGGCACCCCAGGAGGGCCCAGGCGGGCAGGAGAAGGGCCCGCGAGGGCTGCCTGCCGGCGGGCACGCGGGCGGCGTCCGGGCGCTAGGGGGCAGTGTGTCTGTTCCAAAGACACCCGCCTGCCGCCGGGACCTACGTGGGTGACGCAGGCACAGGCGGGGCACCCGCGTCTCACACCCACCGACACGCGGGCACACGCGGTGGGAGGCAGCCGCGCGCACAGGCCGAGAGGCCTGGGACGGGACAGACCCGCCGCCCCCAGCCCCAGAGACACGCAGGGGCGCGAGGACACACCCCCCTCCTTCACGACAGGCGCACACGCTGGCCACAGACACGCACACGCACACCCCTCGCAGAGTGGAGGATGACCCAGACACGGTCCTGCATACATGTGCACACACCGTACACAAGCACACACACGCACACACATGCATGCACACCCATATGCACGCGCACACACACACAAACACACACCCCTTGTAGACTTCATTCTTGGAAATAGCCCCAGAACAACACTCCCCGCCTCTCCCCCGCCTCCCACCCCCAGGAGGTGGGGAGTTCACAGAATTATTCCACAGGAAACCTGGCCAGATGTTGAGGGGACCCCCTCCCAGCTTGGCATGAAGTCATGCCTTCGCCTGGAGTAACCCCTCCCCTCCAGAAGCTCCCCCAGACTGCGGGCCGGGAAGGCCACTTTCTCACTGCTCTGAGCACCCCCAGCGTGGAGAGGTCCCCACTTTTCCTGTTCCTCCTGCACACAGAGACACAGGGCTCCTTCTCTTGGCCCCAGTACGGGTTGTCCCTGGCTAGGCAGGGGTACCCGGTGGCTTCCGTGGGTGCCAGGCCCTCCCAGGCTCAAGTCTGGGGTGCATGCTGAGGGGGCTGGGTGGGTTATCGGACGTGAACCCAGAACCTTTATTCCTTTGTACCGAAGCAGCCAGCCTCAGTCTTCCACTGCCTCTCACCTCCCTGTCACTTTGCTAAGTAATAATTTCCATGTCCAATTCCATTTCTTTTCTAGTTCTGAAACCTCTAAGCTATCAGCAAGAGGATAGTTCACATGAAAACTAATTACACAAAATCAATATTTAATCACAGACCAACAACCTGATCCTGCAGAAAAATCCTTTTAAAACTCCACTGCCCTGTACAAATACTTCTTCCCGATGCTTATTTATGGACCCCAGTTTTGGTGGGGGTAATTTTCATTTTTAATTTCAAAAATAAAAAAAAATAGCTCTGGACACCCACCCCAGGGAGGGCGGTAGCTCTGAGTTGGCTTCTGAGTTTTCAAGTTGCAGGTTTTTATTGTTTGTTTTTATTTAAAAAAAAATTCTTTTCTCTTTCCTTTCTTTTTTTCCCTTCCTTCCTTCCTTCCTTCCTTCCTTCCTTCCTTCCTTCCTTCCTTCCTTCCTTTCCTTTCTTTTTGAGGGGTGGGCATGGTGGTTATGTTCGTTGGAGTCCTACTCCCCCTTCCCCTCACCCTAAGTGGGCCACTTTTTCAGCTCTTGGGTTCTGCAAAATCCCAACTGTTACCTTCCATGGCCGCAGCTCTGGGGAACCTTGAATCCCTGCATGTGGTGGTAACTTTTTAACTTCGGGCCACTGATGGTGGAGTGCTTAATCTGAGGTTTTTTAAATAAAAAGGGCTCTGGGGTTGGTTTTATTATAACGTTTATTTCATTTCAGATTTCATGCGCAATTTAGCAAATGCTAGACAGACTTGGGCGATAAACACGTTCTTTTGTGTGTGTGGGGGGAAGGCCTTTTTATACACCATGCTTAATTTTATTTAGATTTAATAACGATGTCAGGGGCCCTTCAAAGAAAGAAAGTTGCTTTTATTTTTTTTCTCCCTTTCTCCTAAGAATACAGTGTAGCTAGCAAAGTCACCTCAGTGCTGTTTTATGGAATGGAAATGAAAGGCCTTTTTCCAACCTCTTTTCTCTCTCCTACACACACTTTACGGAGAAACACACACGCACACACATGCACACACACACCAACACTCCTACGCACACTTACAGAGAAACACACAAACACCTACATACACTCTACACACACACACACACACTGTCGCAGAATAAACAAGTCCTGGACCCTCCATCAACTCGAACTTCCAACTTCTAATTGCAAGATAGATTTCAGCCTCAGTGGGGGATCAGGAAGATCTAAACATTTAAACTAAGATTATTGGGATAAATATTTCATAAAGAGCAGGGCAGATATTAAATTACTCCTATTGATTTTAGTATCACAACCCAATTCCGTTCCCTGGCCTCTTCAGTTTAATTGATCTCTTAAGGAGGCCAACCCCGCGCCCGCGGAGCGCCCGGGCCTTGGCGACCCCAGAAGGGCGCTGCACCCCGCGGCGGGGGGAGGGGGGCTCCATCTGCACCCCCCACTGTGCCGCCGCTTCGGAGCTGAGCTCCTTGGATGTGCCCCTCGCCCCCCTAAAGTGGACGAATGAGGTCCAGAGAGATGCCAGCTGCCAACCGGGCACCCGGGACAGTGAGGACAGGGTATAATTGTGGGCGCCCTGGCGAGGGGAGGCGGGAGCAAAGCCCCCGAGGCTCTAAAGCAGAATCTTAACTTGGGGGGGGGGGTCCTCGTCTTTCGCCTCCGGGGAGAAAAAAGAAAATCCTCCGGCCGGCTAACTTGGGCGTCTCAAGCGAGCAGGCGGCAGCCGAGAGCCCGGGCTGCGTCCCGGAGCCCGCGCGCACTGGACCCCGGGCGACTCCGAGCCGAGTCCCGGAGCTCCGCCGGGCGACCCTATTGTCTGAGCGCCCCGCAACGCTAACCGCCCGCCTCCCCGCCCCCTGCCCACCCCGCAGGGCTCGCTCGGGTGGGGGGTGGGGAGTTGGGAGCCGTGCGAGTGGGAAAGGGGGGGTGAACAAAGCTAAGCTCCCGCCCTCCTCCGCCTCGCCACCCCCGTGCGCCCCCGAAGGCCGCGGGGTCAGCGCGCGCGCCCCCACCCCCGAGCCCGGTGCCCTGGCGCCGGCCCCGGAGCCGAGATCCGCGCCGGAGACCCCGGAGCTGGAGGAGTGCGGGCTGCGGGCGGGGGCCCCCGGCAGTCGGCGCCCGGGACCACCTTAAGAGCGAGCCCCGCCCCGCGCCCCGAGCTCGGGCCGCGCTGATTGGTGCAGACGGAATGGCTGAAATTGATTGCTGAAATGCAAAACTTGTTGCTGCTTCTCCCGGCGCTGGGCGAGAGGCAGACGCAGAAGAGGGGAGCCGAGACCCTCGCAACGCCCCACGCAGAGCCCCCCCAGCCCGAGAGGGGCGCGCGGACCCCCCAGAACTGCCCCCGCCCCCCACCACTCCCGGCTCTGGAAGCGCCACCGGAACGTCTCCGCCTGGCCGGCCCAGCGCGCCCCCCGACCCGCGTACGCCCCCCCTGGCCGGGTCCGAGGGGCGCTCGCGGAGCATCTCAGCGCCGACGCGGGGACCCCGAGCTTTGGAGCGACCCAAGCCCTCGTCGTCTCGCTGCCCCCGCGCGCTGGGAGCGGGGCGCGCGGAGACCCCCACGAACTCCGGAGGAGCCCGAGCGGCGTAGCCCAGGAGCGGCCGGCGGCGGACGTGGCGGCCGAGCGGCGCGCCGGGGCGCAGCGCACCGGCCGCGGCGCGGGGCAGCCGCGCCTTCCCCGGCGGCGCTCGGCTCCGGCACGGGGCGCCCGCGCCTGCCCGGCCTCGCGCCGCCTGCGGCTCGGCGGGGGCCGGCACCGGTGATGTGGAGCGCGGCCTCCAGTCCTCCGAAGCGCTGAGAAGCCGTCGCCGGTGGCTCGGGGCGGACGGGGACGGCGCTGCGAGCGGCGGTGCTCGGCGGAGCTCGGACTGCGGAGCGCGGGGACTCCGGGGGGAGGGGGGAGGGAGCCGCTCAGAGGGTGCCCGGGCGCCGGCCGCGGCTTGGAAGGGTCTCCCCGGCCTGGCCCTGAGCAGCTCCGCCGCGGACTCCGGCAGGCTTCGGGAGAGGACTCGGGGCTCCCGGCCCGACCCGATCGGACTTGAGAAGGTGACCGCCCTGCTTTCCCTCGCGCCTTCCCGCCTCCTGCCCCCGACTTAACTTTTTGTCTCCGCTCGCCCGCGGCTCCCCCCCGCAGACCGACTCGCCGCTGTGCTGGCCGCCGGGGCATGGGCCCCCCAACTAGGCTCCCGGAGGCCCCGAGGCGCCGCAAGATGTGAGAGGCCCGCGTCGGGCACAGCCAGAGCTCGGGGAAGCGGCGCCGCGTAGCCCCCAGCCTCTCCGCGCCCGGGCGAGGTGGCGGTGCGCGCTGCGCCCCCGGGGTGCTGAGCGTCGGGGAGCGCCCGAGCCGGGGCCGAGAGGAGTAGCTGGCCGGAGACCGGGCTGTCATGCCCTATTGATCCCCCGCCCCCTGCCAAGTATGTTTGGGCTGGACCAATTCGAGCCCCAGATCAACAGCAGGAACGCTGGCCAGGGCGAGAGGAACTTTAGCGAGGCCGGAATCAGCATGAACGCCCACTTTAAGGCCCCGGCTTTCCACGCGGGGGGACCCCCCGGGCCCCGTGGACCCCGCCATGAGCGCGCTGGGCGAGCCCCCCATCTTGGGCATGAACATGGAGCCCTACGGCTTCCACGCGCGCGGCCACTCGGAGTTGCACGCCGGGGGGCTGCAGGCGCAGCCGGTGCACGGCTTCTTCGGGGGCCAGCAGCCGCACCACGGCCACCCGGGAGGCCACCACCCCCACCAGCATCACCCCCACTTCGGGGGCAACTTTGGCGGCCCGGATCCGGGCGCCTCGTGCCTGCACGGGGGTCGGCTGCTCGGCTACGGCGGCGGCGCGGCCGGCGGCCTGGGCAACCAGCCGCCCTTTGCCGAGGGTTACGAGCACATGGCGGAGAGCCAGGGGCCCGAGAGCTTCGGCCCGCAGCGGCCCGGGAACCTGCCGGACTTCCACAGCTCGGGCGCCTCGGGCCACGCCGTGCCCGCGCCCTGCCTGCCGCTGGACCAGAGCCCCAACCGGGCCGCCTCCTTCCACGGCCTGCCCGCTTCCAGTGGCTCCGATTCCCACGGCCTGGAGCCCCGCCGGGTGGCCAACCAAGGGGCCGTGGACTCGCTGGAATACAATTACCCGGGCGACGCGCCCTCGGGACACTTCGACCTGTTCTCGCCCTCCGAGACCGAGGGGCCGCTGCCTCACTACGCGGGGGGCCGCCAGGTTCCCGGGGGCGCTTTCCCGGGCGCCCCGGCGATGCCCAGGGCCGCGGGCATGGTGGGCTTGTCCAAAATGCACGCGCAGCAGCAGCAGCAGCAGCAACAGCAGCAGCAGCAGCAGCAGCACGGGGTGTTCTTCGAGAGGTTCGGTGGGGCCCGCAAGATGCCAGTGGGCCTGGAGCCCGGGGTCGGCTCCCGGCACCCGCTCCTGCAGCCCCCGCAGCCGGCCCCGCCGCCGCCGCAGCAGCCGCCGCCGCCGCCGCAGCCGCAGCCGCCGCCGCCGCCGCAGCAGCCGCCGCCGCCGCCGCCGCCGGGGCTTCTGGTTCGGCAGAACTCGTGCCCGCCCGCGCTCCCGCGGCCCCAGCAGGGCGAGGCGGGCACGCCCAGCGGCGGCCTGCCGGACGGGGGCCCCATGCTGCCCAGCCAGCACGCGCAGTTCGAGTACCCCATCCACCGGCTGGAGAACCGGAGCATGCACCCGTATTCCGAGCCCGTGTTCAACATGCAGCACCCCCCGCCGCAGCAGGCGCCCAACCAGCGGCTGCAGCACTTCGACGCGCCCCCCTACATGAACGTGGCCAAGAGGCCGCGCTTTGACTTCCCCGGCGGCGGCGGCGGCGGCGGCGGCGGCGGCGGGGGCGGCGGCGGCGGCGGCGGCGGCGCGGGCGTGGACCGCTGCGCCTCGTGGAACGGCAGCATGCACAACGGAGCCCTGGACAACCACCTCTCGCCCTCGGCCTACTCGGGCCTGCCCGGCGAGTTCACGCCGCCCGTGCCCGACAGCTTCCCCTCGGGGCCACCCCTGCAGCACCAGGCCCCGGAGCACCCATCCCTGCAGCAGCAGCATCAGCAGCAGCAGCATCAGCAGCAGCAGCAGCAGCATCAGCAGCAGCATCAGCAACAGCATCAGCAGCAGCAGCAGCAGCAGCGCCAGAACGCGGCCCTCATGATCAAGCAGATGGCGTCGCGCACCCAGCAGCAGCGGCTGCGCCAGCCCAGCCTGGCCCAGCTCGGCCACCCCGGGGACGTGGGCCAGGGCGGCCTGGTGCACGGCGGCCCGGTGGGCGGCTTGGCCCAGCCGAACTTCGAGCGCGAAAACGGCGGCGCGGGCGCGGCGCGCCTGGGCGCCTTCGAGCCGCAGGCGCCGCACCTGGCGCAGGAGAGCGCGTGGTTCCCGGGCCCGCACCCGCCGCCCGGCGACCTGCTGCCCCGCCGGCTGGGCGGCTCGGGGTTGCCCCCGGACTGCGGCCCGCACGACCCGGGCCTGGCGCCGCCCCCTCCGCCGCCCGGGGGCTCCGGGGTGCTGTTCCGGGGCCCTCTGCAGGAGCCGCTGCGGCTGCCCGGGGAGGGCCACGTGCCCGCCTTGCACTCCCCGGGCCTGCAGTTCGGGGGCGGCCTCGGGGGGCTGGGCCAGCTGCAGTCGCCCGGGGCCGGGGTGGGGCTGCCCAGCGCGCCCTCCGAGCGCCGGCCCCCGCCGCCCGATTTCGCGGCGCCCGCCCTGGGGGGCCAGCCCGGGTTCCCGTTCGGCGCCGCCAGCCGGCAGGCCACGCCGCACAGCGGCCCCGGCGTGAACTCGCCCCCGGGCGCGGGCGGGGCGGGCGGCGGCGCGGGCGGCGGCGCGGGGGGCGCGGGGCCCGCGGGGGGCGCGGGGGGCGCCTACCCGCCGGGGCAGCCCGACTTCCAGCCGGGCCAGCGCGCCTCGGCCAGCAAGCTGGGCGCGCTCTCGCTCGGCTCCTTCAGCAAGCCCAGCTCCAAGGACAACCTGTTCGGCCAGAGCTGCCTGGCCGCGCTGTCCACCGCCTGCCAGAACATGATCGCCAGCCTGGGCGCCCCGAACCTCAACGTGACCTTCAACAAGAAGACCCCGCCTGAGGGCAAGAGGAAACTGAGTCAGAACGAGGCGGACGGCGGCGGCGCGGCCGCGGCCGGCACCCCGGGCTCGGATTACTTCCCCGGGGGGCCTGCCCTGGGCGCGCCCGGGCCCGGGGGCCCTCCGGGGAGCGCGAGCGGCGGCTCCAAGGCCTCGGGGCCGCCCAACCCGCCCCCCCCGGGGGACGGCACCAGCCTCTCCCCCAACTACACCCTCGAGTCCACGTCGGGGAACGACGGCAAGCCGGTCCCCGGGGGCGGCGGGCGCGGCCGGGGCCGCAGAAAAAGGGACAGTGGCCACGTGAGCCCGGGGACCTTCTTCGACAAGTACTCGACGGCGCCGGACAGCGGGGGCGCGCCGGGGGTGAGCCCCGGGCAGCCGCCCCCGCAGGCGCCCCCGCAGGCGCCGCCGCCGCCGCCGCAGGCGGGGCCGGGCGTGGCCGTCGGGGCCGGCGAGGCCCGGGGGGCGCCGACGCCCCACGAGAAGGCGCTGACGTCGCCGCCGTCGTGGGGCAAGGGGGCCGAGCTGCTCCTGGGGGGACCCGCCGGACCTCATGGCGTCCCTGGAAGGGGGCGCCAAGTCGGACCGTAGTTCGCCGCACGTGGGCGAGTTCGCCCCGGACGAGGGGAGCACCAGCTACGCCAACGAGGACGAGGTGTCGTCCAGCTCCGACAACGCCCCGGCGCTGGCCAAGGCCGGCCGCAGCCCCCTGGTGACGGGCTCGCCCAAGCTGGCGCCCCGAGGCGCGGGCGCGGGGGAGCTCGGACCCAAGGCGCCCGCGCCCGCGCTCGGCCTGGCCGGCCTGTCTACCTCTACCTCCACCCCGGACAGCTACGGCGGCGGCGGCGGCGGGGCGCACCCCGCCACCCCGGGCCTGGAGCAGGTCCGGACCCCGAGCAGCGGCGCCCCCGAGGAGATCCACCCCCTGGAGATCCTCCAGGCCCAGATCCAGCTGCAGCGGCAGCAGTTCAGCATCTCCGAGGACCAGCCCCTGGGGCTCAAGGCGGCCAAGAAAGGGGACTGCGCCGTCGGGGCGGCGGGCGCGCAGGTGGGCGACGGCGAGCTGGGCAGCTGCTGCTCCGAGGCCGTCAAGAGCGCCATGAGCACCATCGACCTGGACTCGCTGATGGCCGAGCACAGCGCCACCTGGTACATGCCCGCAGACAAGGCCCTGGTGGACGGCGGCGGCGCGGACGACGACAAGACGCTGGCGCCCTGGGAGAAGGCCAAGCCCCAGAACCCCAACAGCAAAGAAGGTAGCCGCGGCCGGGCCCCTGCCCCCCTGCCCGCTGGGGGGACCCTCCGCCCCGGGGTCTGCGGGCAGATCCCTCTCCCCACCCCACCCCCCTGCCCCGGCCTGGTAGGTGGCAGGGACTCCCCCAGCCCAGGCTCAAGCACTCGCAGTCTTTGGGGGCGGGGTGTGTGTGCGTGGGGGGGGGGGGCATCATTGCCGGCTCCTTGCTCTCCTCTCTGCCCCTCTCAAGTTTTAGCTGACCTGTTGGACGTTCTGAGGACTGGGCTCCCCTTTTCTTTCAAGCTCCAGCCCCTCCTCATCCTGACTATTTCGGTGGCTCCCACGTTTTTAGGAGTCATGTGCCTCGGTTTCCCCCACTTTCCTGCTAGGGTACCTGTGTCAGTGCCTACCCCACCTCCTTCACCCCGCTGCCCTAGTTCACCAGCCTCCAGCTTGAGTTTCCTGTCCGTGCCAGAGCTAGCTTTTTTTCTTTTTTTTTGGAGGGGGTGTGGTGGGGAGAAGTTATCAGCTCTGGTGTCTGCCTAATTTGACATTTGTTCCTAATGAATAGGTGTTTTGTCTCTTCTTAACTATTAGAGCTTCCTTGGAAACCTGCAGACCCGTGGGGGGTTTGCCGAAGGCAGACGAGTTGGCACTTTCCTTTTTCCGGGGTGCATCGCCTTGACGTGGGGTGGGGTGGGGTGGGGGTCATGCTGTGTGGCTGGGACGGGGTCCGCTGGGCGCGGGGGTCAGCCAGAGCAGGCAGCCCGGGTAGGGGTGGTGACGGGGGACAGGGACTGAATGAACACAAAGGACCCGCGTTGTCAGTATCTCGCCTGGCTTGGGTGACAGATGTTGCGTCCCAGTTAGGGTTTTTATATTCTAAGCTGCTGACCCTTCTCTGGGTGGGACAGGTGGGGGTTAGGAAAATGCAGGACTCTGCCCAGCCGGACTAGGAAGTTTGTTGTTGAACCTACAGAGGAATGAATCAGTGGCTGTTGGGTTGTATTGTAACAGGCCTGTGTGAGAATGGGACCTTAAAATGAGGTGACAATCTTCTCCGCCTTCTCTCACCCCCACTCCTTCTAACCCCTTTCTTGGGCAGCACCCATCCCTGAATCCCCTTCTTGATCTCCCTGGAGAGAGCATGAGTCTGAAGCCAGTGGTTGGCGAATTTACCTCGTCTTGGGGGAAAAAAAATGTGTCTCTGATGCTTCTTCTCTGAGAGTTCCTTTTTCCCTAGCCCAGTTCACATCCGGTCATCTCTTAAGCCTGGGTTTAAGTGAGGTGAGGGTCGGGTGTAGGAGATGAGGATGGGGTAGGGCAGGGTGAAGGGAGGAGGAGGGGAGCAGGGAAGGGTGGCCGGCTGGAGCTGGGTGGCTCGGGGGCCCTCCTGGGCCGCCTTCCCCCTGCTCCGGGTGATCCAGTTCAGAAATGCAGCCCGGCTGCCTGTTTCTCTCTTTGTTCCTCCCCTGCCCGGCCAGGCCAGCCAGCCGCTGTCTCATTTGAGGCCGGGTATTCAGCATGCACTACGCTGCTGTGGCCAGAAGCCTTCGAGCCTCTCCAGGCTTCTGGCCGGCAAAGCCGTAAATAGGTTAGTTTGGGACCCTGTGTTTCCTTCTGCTCCCCCCCAACCCCCCGCCTCCACCCACCCACCCCCATGTCCCTTCTTTTAAAAATGGACTTGGACACAGGGTCTTGCCTGCTCACCCCCCTTCCTTTTATTTTCTTGTACACAACATCTCCAGTCCGCCGATCGATAGCTGGTTAGCACAAATCCCAGCCCCTGTCACTTCTACCTGCCCGGGTCCCAGAGGCCCGTCCCTGACGCCCCCTGTCTCTCCTCTGTGCCCACCCCCTGCACTCCTGGTAAATGAAGGATTCACCGGTCAAGTGGGGTGGAAAAGTTTTTTTTTTTTAAACCCACCCCCAGGCCGCTAGTAAGAATTCATAAAGAAAAACCGGGAGTCCATTGCCCACCAGCCAAGATGAGGTGTGGAAGTGTTTTGTTTTTCTTTTTTCTTTTTTCCTGGGATTTTCTTTGAACTGTGAGGATCTACTCTCAGTCTAACTCATCCATCTGTACAGGGATGGGGCAAAAAAAAGACGCGGGGAGGGAAGGAAGAAGTGTCATTCAAGAAGTGTTTGGTGTGGTGGGTTTCCCCAGCCCAGTCAGGTAGATGAGAGGGAACATACTTTGGGGAAACCGGTTTTCTGTCCCTTTGGGGTTGGTCCCCCTAGAGAGGAAAAGGGAGCAGCTTCTGGGGGGGCTCTGCTGGGGGACACCCACTTCACCTCCTTTGTTTTCCTCCCTGTGATGGGGAGGACAGTTTCCAAGATAAAGCTCCGAACTGAGGTCACTTGGGCCGCTTTGGAGGGGTGCCTGCCTGAAGCTGCCCCCCTTCCTGCCAGGAACAAACTTTTCCTTTGGCTGACACCCTCCCCGCTCCTTCCTACTGAGGAAGCGGGCACTGAGACCGTCTCTGACAGGCCCCTGAGTCCTCCAGCTGAAAGCAGAGTGAGGGATGCCTCTTTGACAGAGAGCAGGAGAAACCGTTTTTCAACTGTTCTGCTTTCCTTAAGCACATCCCTGTAGGCCGGGGGTGGGGGTGGGGCGGGTGTCCAGCGGTGTCAAATACTGACCTCCTTGCTGGGGTCCCAGCCCCAGCCAGTGTGTTTTCCTCCCCTCCACATCCCCACCCCTCTGCCCTTCCTCTCTGAAGCCCGTTCTTTTTTTTTTTAAATGATATTTTATTTTGTCACGCTGTAAAGCACGCCAGTACTAATGTGATTAAATATTAACACCGTTTCTGAAATTCTGCGCTCCGATGACAAAATACTAGTCGGTATTTAACAAAATGATCCGTGCTCGGATTGGAGAGAAGGAATAAGTCTTTAGAATGGCGCGAGCAGAGCAGACCCGGGGACGTGCATGGATTGTCTTATGGTCTGGAGGTGGCCTTTGGGGGGAAGAGAGACAGCTAGTTGCAGAGCTGAGGAAGTCTAGGCCAGAATCGCAGGTTTTGACCATAAAGTGTGTGTGTGTGTGTGTGTGTGTGTGTGTGTGTGTGTGCGTGTGTGTGTGTTTTCCCGACTTCTTAATCCATCCAACAACTTTTCGAGAATGAAACTGGGCATCTCCTTATGAGGCTCTGTTTGCACAAAACTGGGTGGTTTGACAAAGAGGGGGGAACCCCCCTACCCCCACCCAAGTTTGGGCCTATTCAGACATCTATGAAGTCTAGGATTACGTACATTTGAGATTCGTTTTCTAAAATCTGTCCACCTGTCTTTGTAATGGGTGGGCGACCGTGGGGGCATTGAAAAAACAGCTAGAGGAGAAATCAATAATTGATGGAAAAGAAAGAATCTTAGGTCAGGAAAACTACCTCCCCGGCCTCCTGCCCAACCTCTTTCTGCCTCTTAAAATTTTCAAAACTTGGGTTCAAAACTTGTAATACTTCTATCCATGCTCAACTTCCATTCCAGTGTGAGCTCTCTCTCTCTCTCTCTCTCTCTCTCTCTCTCTCTCTCTCTCTCTCTCTCCTTCTCTTTCTGTCTAGAGTACTCTACAGACAGGCTTTCATGCATGGAGAGCGTTTCCTTATACCGGAGCTGGGCGTGCACTGCTGCCTTTTGGTGGGGGGTGGTGATGGTGGAGTCAGCTTATTTGCCTACAGAGATGTGGGAGAAATTTTCGGAACTTCATGCTTCTCTTAGCTTTCGGAAGGCAGGAAAAACAGAACTGAGTATTACTAAGCATGCGGGATTCGGGGCAGTGCATGTCTAGAGAGGAGGGGGCAGGCCCGGAGGTTGGGGAGGGGGCTCTGAATGTTTGCGGGAGTTGTTTCTCCTACTCCCTGCTCCCTGCTCCCAGAGAGCATTTTTGAAGGCACTCTCAAAACCTGATGGGTTGAAAGCAAGGCCCCAGGCACTCCTGGTTCCCAGCGAAATCACCCAGCTAGGCAGGGCTGCATGCCTTAATGTGACTTTTTGCAATCTCCCCCCGTGTAACCCAAAACTTCGCAGGTGTTAATCAGGAGAAATGTAAACAGATAGGAGTCTAGGATGCACTACTACTGTTCTTTGGTGCTTGTTGAATATTTCATGGCTGTCATAAACCTGTCTGCTTCGCCCGCCTCCCGACAGAAAACCCCAGCCCTGCACCCATTTGCAATTATACATTTCCACTAAATATTAATAAAGGACCGGGATGTTTCGGGGGCTGAAGCTTATTGCTGTTGAACTTGTCCTGCTTTCTGACACGCAGTTCCATTTGATTTTATTTCTCCTCCCGGACTCCTTTGGCTTTCAGTGGCCCGTCTTCTCAGCACTTCTCTCTTCTTCCATTCAGCGTGTGGATGGAAGGGTTTGCCTCCAGGAGAGCTTTCTCCCACGTACCCCCATTTAGATTTCTCACCGGCCCCTGTGGGTCGACTGGCAGTCAGAGATGGTTGAAATATGCTTCTCTTTCGTGGAGGTTTCTAGAAAAAGGAAAACTAAGAGCGAAGAGGGTTAGTTCATCTGATTTCTCTTTCTGGCGTTCAAATTCTAGGATTCCTGATGTGATTTTGTTTGCCTGACAGAGGTATGTAAAATCCACCAAGAATCCTAATAGGTTCAGAAAATAGAGTTGCCCTCCACCCAGAAGTTATGGGTCCTCCCTCTGCTGATGGGAAACCCACGTCTTCCACAAACAGGCAGGAGACCCAGGTAAAAATGGAGGAGGGGGAATTCTTTCTCCTCCCTGGAACCCACTGGCGTGTCCCCTCGAGGGTCCTTGGGCTCGCCTGACCCCCTCCCTCCTGGAAGACTTAGCAAAATCACCCCGACCTTTCTCTCCACGTGAGTGACACAGGGGTCCCTTCTTGGCCACGGGGCACAACTTTTGCCGACACATCCAGGAGGGGCCTCTTAGGCAACAATTTCCTGTTTCCCTCTGTTGGGGTGGGTTTAGAGGTTACAGGCTGGAAGCCCCAGGGAATAGGATCAGATGGCTGGGCCGTGGGTGACAATCAGCAA